CAGCGGACAGCTATTGGCTGAGATCAGCCAAAGTGGAGGGCTAGTGACTGAGATCAGCGCAGTGGATGGCTATTGGCTGAGACCAGCGAAATGGACGACTTCTGGCTGAGATCAGCGCAATGGAAGCTGTTGGCTGAGATCAGCGCAGTGGACGACTATTAGTCGAGATCCGCGCAGCAGCCGGTGGGCGGCGGGCCGCGGTAGGGCCGGGCCGGGCTGGTTACGGGTGGGCCGGCAGTGCTGCCGCTCCGCTGGCACTCCCGGTCGCGCCGTCGTCAGCCTCCTTCGCCGCGCCGGGGTGAGACTCCTGCCCACACGTCAGGACATCAGTCACACCGGTGGCCAGTTGGCAAGGCACAGACAGATATGCAAGAGTGCAGTTTTCCTGTCTGTAAGCTCTTGGTATGCGCAATACAAACAGCAGATGCAAGCCATACAGTGTCATCGTCTGACAACTAAGCACTATTGGCTCATCTGCCGAGGAATTCAAGTGGAACACGTAGATCCAAGAGGTAGGTGATGCATGCAATATCATTGTCATCACATTCATACCATGTTTGTCATATTCACCTCCACACTTACCTTTTATATAACTTTCTACAGCACTCGTTTGACAGAGCTTACTGTTACTAGCTTACTACAGAGCTTAAAATAATTCTGCCCGTAAGCATGCCATCTATTTCCAAGCCTTTCAATCACTGAAACAGGTAATGCTGGAAACTACTTGATTTTCAGAAACTAAAACACAAGCCACGTATGGTGCGCGCAGATATTTGTAAAAGCACAGCATGCCATCTAGATGATAACACAGTATCCCTATTCTTGTCTTCACAAAGGCTTCAGATTATTGGTACTCCACCCACCCGTTGTTGGGAGGCCTGATGTTGGCGTTCGCCTTGGTCTTCGTTGGCCGACTCGTTCTGACGACGAAGCGGCCGCTGCTCGGCATTACCCCCGTCACGAGCCTCATCACCCCTGCCCCCCTTCCCGCTGCTGCTCCGAAGCTCCTCCGCCCATGGCCCACGCTCGCTGTGAGCTTCGCTGTCCGACTCTCCGCTGCGAGGAGGCTGGTGGGGCCGGGGCTCCTGCTGCTTATCCGGAGCAGCCTCGACCTCAGTCGCCTGCCGCTGCGGCGCCACCCCCATCCTCAGCCTCCTGCTGCTGCTGTTCGACACTGGAGGATCATTGCTCCTCGTGGATCAGCTCCTCCGTCTGCCGCCGCCTGTCGCTCTTCTCCAACATCTGGGAGGTCCGCTGCTCCTGTGCGGCCGCTCCATTCTGCCGCCACCTGCCGTTCATCACCGCTATCTGGGGCGTCCTGTCGCTCCTGGACGGCTGCTCCGTCTGCCGCCGCCAGTCGCTGTTCCCCTGCCATCTGGGGCCGTCCTGTCGTCCTGGACGGCTGCCCCGTCTGCCGTCGCCCGTCGGTCCTCACCGCCATCTGGGCGTCCTGTCGCTCCTGGCGGCTGCCCCCGTCTGCCGTCGCCCGTCGGTCCTCACCGCCATCTGGGGCGTCCTGTCGCTCCTGGGCGGCCTGCTCCGTCTGCCGCCGCCTGGTGGTCCGCCGCGGCACGCGCCGGCGGGACCTGGCCGTTCCCCCTGCGGCGCGCGGCGCGCTCGGCGTTGCGGCGCCGCTCACGCTCGGCCCAGTCCCACTCGGCCGTCCACTCGTTCTCGCGCCGCTCCACCACCTGCCGGACGAGCGGCGCCCGTCAGAGCGCACACCAACGGCCCAGAACCCTGACACCCACGGAGGACTGTGGGAAGACGGAAACTGCCTTCCAGGAAGTGCCACTACCTGCCAGGATACGCGACGCCGGTCTTAGTCTCAGAGGTCCGGGACCGCCCAAGCCATGGGAGGTAGTCTGTCGTGCAATCTTTCTGCTGTGCTGCCCAGTTCACAAGTAAGGCACTATTTTTTCCCCGCCGACCCCTTACGAGCTCTCTCTCCAGTCTGGCAATACCTTACACTTTTTATATGGTCCTCAGACATGAGGCAGCAACGGTTCCTTTTCATTTCACTCGGCCATACAAATTATACCAAATGAATACTGGGCTTAGTAATCTGCTCCTGTTGCGCCACGCTGGAGTCTCCTCGCTACCTCACCTTAACCTCCGTCTCCTTGATCTCCACCTCCTTGCCGGGGTCCTGCATGGGGAAGGCTGGCACGACTGGCGGCCTCGGCAGCGGCTCGGCCGGCGTGCCCTCGGCCGGTCGGGCCGCGGAAGCCGGCGGCGCCTCCTCGGACCGGTGGCGCCGCCGCGTGTCTGCGGCAGTGGCGCGCTGTCGGCCACGGGGCGACCAACGCCGACGCACGCGGCCGGCGCGGCGCCGCGGACGCGAACCCAACACCAGCTCGGCGAAGCGGATGGAGCCCATCCCCGCGTGTTTGTGCGTGCACAGGAAATCCCGCACCTCCTCTTGATTTACACCGCATGTTGCAATCACATATAGTCGCTGCCACAAGTTTGCTATTCGTATTGCAATGTTACTGCGAAGGCATGACTTCAAAATGGTCCTTATGGAAAGCTGGCACTCTATATGCTGTACTATAATCGTCGTAATCATCGTATTCATAACACAGTGCTATTCACAGCTCAGCATCAGTGGGCACTTAGGCGAAGTTCTCATCGCACAAATGCCGATGTCATCGCTGTTCTTCAGTGGTTGGGGACTGAAAGCTCTTAACGGGCACCACAATTGTCCCCATTCAGGAAACCATCTACTTTGTTTCCCTTTTGATGCGGCACATTTCTCCTATTGGCAGCAGGCAGACGCCACCGAGAAACGAGAAGAATAGTCATAAGACAACGTGACCTCGGAGTCCAGTTCTTTTAGGTCAACCTTGGCCACGGTACAGTCCGATGCCGTTCACAACTAATCTCTGCTAATAGTCGCACAACTGGTGCGTCTTAGGACTGAGCGATACTCCGCGTCACTCGCCCCCCCCCCCCCCCGCTCTGACGGGGTGTGAACTGACCGGTCTGGCCGGCGATGCAGCTGGAGTCGGAGCGTCGCCTCTGCGCTGGTCCGGTCAGCTGGCGGCGGTGCTCCGACTCACGCTTGCCACACCTGCAGCATGAGGCGGCGCCGGGCGGCGCGACCGCCGTCCTCGTCCGGCGGCGCCTCCTGCTGGACGGAGACGACCGTCAGCGGCGGCCGGCGCACAGCTGGCGGCCCAGACACTGCAGCCTCGGCGGCACACGGGGAGTGACGTCACCTCACAGAGCGTGGCCCACGGCTGTTGTTTGGTCAGTCAGGAGCAGAAACAGAAATTGCTGACCGAAACCGCCTGACTGAAATTCACTAACGTTCCGCAATGATAATGGAACGTAAATCGTACGCAATATAACTTGGTCTTCCAAATTTTGTTTTTGTCCTCCGAAACAGAGGTACGGCACTTGACAATTCCTGTCCCCCGGCTGCCGACCGAGCCCCATGGAGCGGGGTGGACGCCCACCGTGTCCAGCGCCTGCTCCAACAGCATCTCCTCCGAGGTGGACAGCTTGAGCGAGGACCGTTGGGTGAGCGAGAGCAGTGACGACTGGCGGACTCAGGGTCGCCTTGAGCCGACGCCAGCGGCCGGCGCCGGCCGCCGGCGTCGCTCCGTTCTCTGTCCCCGGCCGGGCGCCGATCGCCTCCGCCCCTCCGGTCGCGGAGGGGCCGGGCTCAGCCGACAGCGATCCGCGCCTGGAGCAGAGCCGGGCGTCAAGGGTCGCGGCCGACACACCAGGCGCCAGCGGCGGTCACTGACAGCAGGCCGCGTGGAGGAGCTGCGTACTCCCGTCCAGTCAGCTCAGGGCAAAGTGGGCCTCGGCAGGAATCGATGCAGAAGACGCCGCTACCAGTCGGTGTCCAAACTCAACAGATAATGCACCACGGTCGGTTTACTTGATAAGCGATTACAAGGGTAGCCGCAGTCAGTCCCTGTCCGAGTCGCAATCACGAGAGAAATCGGTCATCAATTTGTTTTCATGCAGCTTGGAAACCTGAGATGCATCGCACGGACCCCCCCCCCCCCCCCCCCCCTCTCACCTCGCCCCATTCTCAGAATATGATGATGCACTTGAACGCAGTGGACTACTGAGCTATCGTGGTTTCTCCATCCTTGTATGACTTAAAAACACAGGTATTCACACAATGATATTGAAATGACTGAAAACAGTGACATTTACTTGGACGAATACATTTGAAGCAAAATACCAACGCCAAGAAACAAGAGCTATTCGCCAGAAAGCGAAACATGCAGTAAAATCAGACACAACTACAGGCTAAACACAGGAAACTTATTTTCAGCCGACCCGTCAAATTGTGTTACATAAGCATAACCCGGCTCCGAGGAGCAGGTTTTACCAGGGTTCGGGATTCCTCCATGCCGGAGGCGATCTCCAGGTCAGTCGCCAGGGAACCACGGCCACGCCTATCTGCAATGCTGAAACAACGCAGCAACATCAGCTCACATGTAATGGTGACAAACACCTAAACAACGTCTAGGTATTTCATATGCTATGGCCTTCGACATTAGATCGCAATGGCTTTTTCCAGTTCGCGGGGTGTTCGATAATATCTACTGGTGCTTACAATTGCAGTAAACGGCCGCAATATGATCGATTATATGTCCACATGTCAAAACATGACTTGATCCATCACCTCCGCCATACCATTCGTTTTGCCGGGATAACATTAATTGGACTAACATTTGGTGAACCGCACGAGCATTAATCTGTTTGAAGCGATGACTTGTTGCGGGCTGCAGAGAATTAGTCGAATGTGTGAAATGGCGATCGTCTGCGGTCACCGAAAGTTCACTGGTCATTGATAAACTTACGTGAACCTATCGACGGTAATGGACCCGAGCGCTTGGAAATATTCATGCTGCCGTGAGAGTGCCTAACCTTTAGATCGTTCGCCTGCCTCTGGAGCGGTTTCACTAACTGAGACTTTTGACTGTCCGTCAGCCAATGACCGGAATGTGTAGCTGTCCAGCCATTGGCCGGTAGCGTATAGCAGGTGATAGACGAGTCCTTCGTGGCGTCGCTTGTAAGGAGGGAACAACTTGTTACAGACGAAAGAGGAATCGCGGAATATTTCCAATTTAAGTGTGGTGAAAATTTAAGTACTGACGTCAAAAATGTGTCGTTACCCTCTGCATAGGAAAGTAAAATGTATTACACCAATCCAGCCTCATGGTCTGATAGAATTAAGAGGCGGAGCAACACAGGAGAGAGAGAGGATGTAGAGAGAGAGCGGAGAGAGAGAGAGAGAGAGAGATATAGACAGAGAGAAAGAGAGAGAGATAGAGAGAGATGAGGACAGTAGACAGAGAGATGGAGATGACACATACATATATTTACACACACAATATAAATATAAATATATACATAGATATATATATATATCTAATATTATATAATATATTTACATATGCACATGCATATGTACACAATATACATAAAATATATGCATATGCATATTTCAAACGCGGGCATTCTTCAGCATACGCACAAAATGCAAGCAATGGATTCAGACAACAAACGTCGCGCAATACAACATTAAAGAGCATCACGCAATGCTCCCGAGCCGCAATTACATCTAACAGTGCATTGTACATACCCGCAGGATGCATGTTTTATAAAAAGCGACCTTGTGTCGGCGATTTTCCGTATGATGTGCCTCAGCAGAGTGGATGCCGAATGGAGTGTTTCTGGTCGTTTTTTTATCTCGTGTGTGCTCGTTAAAGCGTTCCCGGACGCTACATTCTGTCTCGCCAATGTGGGTGTAAGGGGCGGGGGGGGGGGGGGGGCGGTTGGCGATTGCATAGGTGGAAGGCAACGAGGAACACGACATTTTTTTGCGCGACACTTCCCAAGAACCGCGCGATGCACGACTGGCATGGCCATTTCCCGGCTGGCAGAGTGGTGGGCCGAGCGCTGAGGCGGTCAGTTGTGCAGCTAATGCTTTAACTCTCTCCCAGGTAGCGCGTCGTGGCAAACCTGACGCTTTAATCGCTGAAGGCACCTTCCTTGATAGAGTATTGTCTGTGAACGGAAGGCTGATGTATGTGGCGGCGTCTGTAGGATTCGTGACTAATCGGAAGACTGCTGCAAACATGCACGCCTCGACTTCTTGTGTTCCGATGACTTGGAGGGGACGCTCTTGATGCAGGCATACGAGCCGAGTATGGAACAGGACCATCTGATAACATTAGAACTACGTTAACAGAGCTACCCACGAGATGGAGGGGGGGGGGGTCTTTTCACGCTAAAAATATTTCTGTGAAGACGGTGCATATGTTGATTTACTTCAGAATGAAATCTGTCAAATGTCCAGCAGTACTCAGTTCCCTTACATGCTGAAGAGTTCTTAACTGATAACATGCTGAGTTCGTTATATCTGGTAAGCTGTTCGTTAAAGTTCTCATGAATATTACAGCAAGACTAATTTTCGTGTGCGGTGTTCTAAAAAAAGTACTCGAGACGAACAAGAGAGAAAGCTAGCCAGACAAATAAATGGCGGCGTTGAATATCTGTTCGGCCAAAATGAAGATGTGATTTTGGCGACCAGTCTGGCTGAGTAAAGGACGTTACTGTGCAATAATGCAGGCAAATAAAGCTAAATGGTGTGCTGTTGCGGTCCAGCGACATGTGGCACGACTTCGGTGAAAAGCCAAGTAAATACTTGGCATTAGAGGAGCGCCAGCACGCAAGGGAATTTATTTCGGGGATTGAGACGTCACAGGATATTATAAACAGTCCGACAAAATATCACCTCTCAGCTGAACAAACAATTCAAAACCGATCGAAAAAAATTCGATTAAACGGACACCCCACAAGGTATATCTACGAGATGTGAAACTAAGACACTGTCGAAGACCAGCGAGTACATTCGTATGGGGTTTTGAACTAAAATAGCCATCTGAAGGCCTTTCGGTGCAGTTTAACAGCCCCGCCCTTCCTAAGACCGAACCCCCTCCAGTTTAAGGAGCAGCACGCCCGCGAACATGCAGAGCATTTCGGAGAGATTATTTCAAAGTTACCTTGCCACTCATGACGCCATGATGACGTCATTCAAATCTACCAGTCCATTAGCCATGCGGCGATCAAGATCGAGAGAAAAACACAATGGTCGATTAGTTCCTATCTGACGGGCGTGAGCACGATTTCAAGACCGTAACGGCCATCAATTGACTCTCAGTCGATGCTACGCAAGACACAATGACGACTGAGGAGCCTATTTAGTAAGCAGAGGAATTGTGTTCTCTAGAGCAGTCGTTTCCACTTCTCACATCGACGACAGCTCCAGTGCTAGCCAGCATCCGCTGGAGGCTTGGAAGCGTTTTCATGTCGCTGAAGAACTAAAGCTCGTCAACCTGTTTGTCGTACAGCTCACGTCCACGCTGCAATGCAGTGTGCGGGCATACGTCCATGACGTTTGAACCTTTCTGGAGCCTGAGCCTGCCGATTCCGTCCATGACGGCTCCTGTGCGCGTGCATAGCTGCTTTGGCATTTTTACTAAGGTGGCGATGCTTGATGGAAGAGAAAACCCACGTGCTCCATGTGCCAGAAGCGCCAAAAGTGCTCCAAAACTTCAAGATTCAGAGGCTCCCACGCATCCTTGTAGTGCCACCTGGGACGGTTATTACTGCAGCCAGAGCAGAACATGCATAAGCTCAACAGCACTGTGAACTTCCCCGCCTTCTGGACCTATCGTATCGGGAGACCGGGAGGTATCACTCTGCCGTATCGGGAGACTGAATTCACAAACTGTACGGCGTAACACAGCCCTTCTGGCGTGGCGCACCCGGGCCACCGCGCGGCACACTGTGCACCTCCCTGTTTGGGAGCCGGGCACGGGTGCGACCCCAGAGGTCCAGCCCATTCCGCATGTGCCGCGTCAACAACTGCGAAGCGTACATGCTACTTTTTGAGCTGGCCGGTCACTGACCTTGGAGCTGACCTGAACGCCAGCACTCGAAGGAGTTTGAGAAGACTCCCCACGTAGCACTGCGGCCACTTCTGTACTTATAGGCATGACCACCCGAATGTGGAAACAAGGGAAAGCGAATCTTCAGTTGCGTGGTGTGAAATGTAATCACATGTCATATGCAGTGTGTTGTGATGTATTCTGTGATCGTCTTCGCCGAAATGTAATTCTGTTTTTTATGAAACCAGGGTTCCTGGCGTCTTGAGTAAGGTGCTTCAATACTTAACATGCTTTTGCATTTACAAAAATATTACATAACGGTCTGAAAAAATTATTAAGAGCGTTCTTGCCGGCCGGGATACCAGTCGAGTTCTTGTTACCTGTTTGTATCGGCTATAAAATGTTAGTCTTGTTATTGTTAATCATTAATCGACAAAGAATGCTAATCTATTGGCTTTAGAAAGGCCACCTCGAAAAAGGCGCTTCATATGGACTAGTTGTTAATGACGACACATTTTTTATGTGGCCAGCTTTGACCTTTTTTAAGCATTTTAATTCACCTTTCTATGCCTGGAATAGACGACAAGAAGGCTACCGCGAGATCAATTCTACCTGAATTTCGTAGTCGGATAAACTTAAAATTGTGCTAAACGACCCCATGAAATAAACCACCGGGGGCTTTCACTTAACAATGGTCCGAGGAGCTCTTTCGCGATCGATAGAGCTTGGGGCTTTGTAACAATCTGTATCTGTGTTGTACAGAGATTTCCAGGACTCCACGAACGCAGGTTGTTAGTAGAATTGATCTTCAATTTGTACCAACACGGCAAGGGCCTACTTGACTAAAGATGTTCAACACTCAGTCATACCAGATTAGTGATACAAATTATGTAACGTCGTTCTGAGCATGCGCTAGCAAATCCTAGCAACACGAGCCTTTGACGCCAGACATTGCGGTCTCCGTAGGCCGCGCGGCGTCGGCTACTCTGCTACCGCTATTCTGTGACCAACGGGTGGACGAAAATGATGACACAATCTGAGACGCACCTTTGAACGTGGGCATTAAATCTTATAGTTAGAAAGTATTCCGGACCTATATTTCACCAGTGCGATTTTCATACTGATAAAAATTAAATGCCTTTTACAGCAACCGCGAAGTGATGCCGGAATCTGGTGATGGACTGGAAGAGGAAAGGACGTGTCTCTATTTTCGTGCTGCCTGTGAATTGTTACTGCCCAGAGAACGGCCTAGAAGTTGTGAAAAACAACACGCCCAGTCTTACCTTTTGAACAGTAAAATTCGATTTGAAAGACATTCTGAACCATTATTTTTACGACAGTCGTTCTCATGCGCACGGCGCTCACGGCCTGGTGTTACTTGCCAGTGGCCAATGCTGTTCGGCTTTACGGAAGCTGCAGCCCAGGCTATCGCTGTCCTTGCTCCCGAAACTGCGGGCGCGCAGGCTCACAACTTTCGATTGTAATTGTTTCACTAGTCGTTTCTGCTAGAAAATGAACGTTCTCAGGCGAAAATGGCATGGATCTCGTTCATTTTTTAAAAATCTCATTCCGACCCACCCTATTCAACATCGATGATACCCCCTATTCTTTCCGGGGGAAGGGGCCCCTTGAGAAGAACACTAGGGGGCGCATTATTGTTCCCGGTCAAGGGTAGAAGGGCAATTCCGTTCCATTGCGGGGTGTCTTCCGGCCGCCACTCTTCTGGCGACATGGGGCGGGGGTACCCTGGCCGATCCGGAGGCCCTTAAAGGGATGCATAATATCACATTGGTACCCTCGCTGACGCGGGAGGCCTTCTGACCCGCACAGTTGACCCCGCATTGACGCAGGAGCCCTCATTGACGTACCAGTATCCCTGATCGCCGCAGGTAGTCCAATAATCGACACATGGACTCAAGTTTGGCTTGACGAGTCCAAGCTGGAATTAGGTTGGGGGGGGGGGGGGTGGCGTTCGGGACTGGGGGCCCCGACCGGCACACGACCCTAACATGGCCTCAATGCAAACACTCATCATAAGTTTTCATGTTTCCTTTCATCGTAAGAGAGCAGGGAGCCTCGATCAACTGGTCTGTGTGTGCCGCCTGGTTTATGGCACATCACAGCGCACGTAGCGCGCTGCCGTCGCCAGTCTCACCTGGACATCTCGCAGGTGGTCTGTGTGTGCCGCCTGGTTTATGGCACATGACAGCCCAAACAGCGTGCTGCCGTTGCCAGTCTCGCCTGGACAGCTCGCAGGTGGTCTGTGTGCGCCACCTGGTTTATGGCACATGACAGCCCAAACAGCGTGCTGCCGTTGCCAGTCTCACCTGGATAGCTCGCAGGTGGTCTGTGTGTGCCGCCTGGTTTATGGCACATCACAGCGCACGTAGCGCGCTGCCGTCGCCAGTCTCACCTGGACAGCTCGCAGGTGGTCTGTGTGCGCCGCCATCATGGCAGCCCGGTCGCCCATGCGCTGGACGGCGCCCAGCAGGTTGGCGTTGCGGCGCTCTCGCCACAGCCGATCCTGGTCGGAGGGGGTCCAGGGCCGAGACGCCCACCATCGGCCGAAGCACTGGCTCGATCCGTCCTCCGAACACCTGCAAAACGCGTTCATCCATGCTGACGTGCTGCATGGGGCTACATGGCTCTTAAGTCATATCAGAGCTCCAAAGTCATGTGATGTTTGGCGTGAGCGCCAGGCCTGTGCTCACCTCCACACAGAATCGGTGACGGATACAGAATCAGCCGTTTTCCAACCACACAGCCAATCGCAACGCCACGTTACTGTCATGTCACAAGAATACATACAACTGTCGTGTCATGAAAAGAATACTGAACTGTTGGTGGCGGTGGCAGAAAGCGGCGAAGCTAATGAAATTCGTAGACTCGACACGATGTGCTTTCATGCAGTAAAACGTCTACGCCCAGCTCCGTGATATATACGACCTGTTTTGCGTCATTGACGAGGAAACAATGTGCTGTAGGTTTCAAGTATATTGACGGAGTACCAAGAGCAGATCCAGAGCGGGAGGCACGGGGTCATCCCCCCGTGGGCCCCGAAGGGTCCCATGGGCTCCAAAAGGACCCATAGCCGACCGAACAGACGTAGTTTTTTCTACACAAAACGTAACCACATTGGACGTCATTTGGCTTGACGACGACCAACAACAGTCGCAAGCGAAAGTGTGAAGCGAAGCAGGAAAGGAAACTAAGCAGAACTGAAGGACCCATGAGCAGACAAAAATTATTCTTCACTGATTGATAGGGTGATGACGGTTTCAAAGCCTCATTACGCTTTCTTGTCAGGCCCTACGCTGCTGTTGGGACGCCACCTGCTCATGCCTTGGCACTATTGATCGTTCAGGGACAAAAGGGAAAGGAAAGGGAAAGGGACAGTCTCTAGTCTCTAGACGTTTTTACCGGGACCCCAGATGACGGGGTTCACTCAATTGCTCACAAGCTCTTCAAATTAGCACCGGGCTCTCTCCAGTCGCTCGGACGGCCTCGTGCTGTTGCTGAAGCCCATATAACGTGAGGCGCCGAGCCACTCAGTCCCCAGGGGCCTCCTACATTGATCTAAAGCTCTTACCGTTCGATCTAGCTTGTGGGGGACCATTCACTCCTACCGGGGCCCTTTCTGGTAGCCCGCCCGGGCACTCTTGACGGCACAGAGGCATCAATTCATGCACATTGGTCTTCGATAATTCCCTTTTGCTAAGAGGAACCTGTGCTCCGGCCGGGGTCCTGTATGTCAGCCTTTCGGGGCACTCCCGATCGTTCAGGGGCCCACCACGTCTGTCTTGGGTGCTTCTCGTCGGCCCTGAGGACCCTCTACGTGTTGACGGAGGCCTCCTTGTTGGCCTGCCGCGGCATCCGTGAAAGCTCAGGTTCCGTTCCTTTTGGCCTTGGTGCCTTAGCCTTAGAGCAGCAGTCGGATATGCGCCGATGACTTTTTACGTGCAAGTGTCGAACATAATTTTACATGCCGCCGACGTCGTATGTGACATTTCCAGTAGTTACTGAATTTGTGACACCTTTATGCTGGTTCATCAGGTTCTCATGGCAGTTAAATGTTAGGACATTGCGTACTCCATCATAACATATAAAACAAAACCTCCGCATCATGATCACATCGACCAGCCGGCCATATGTCAAGAAGCTAGAGATCATTTTCGTGCTTTACTTTAAGTGCAATGAGCAGCTAACTTTAGCTAAATTTGTCATTTTTTAATGATCTGGAGAAAATGAATACGCTCCACAAATGTGCATACGTATAGCACGGCCAATTTTCTAGATCTGCACACTGTAAGAACGGTTTCTGTGAAAAACAAAACAGTCCACTCAGAATCTTAAAATTGAATGGCCGTTATGCAAGTACTATTTTTCGGGGCGGAGGGCTAGGCTCTAGGGGCCCACAATGTTGCGTGCTTCTCCCCCTTGACAAAATCCTGGATCCGCCCCTAAATAGAACGAAAACTGTCTAAATGCTAACTGAGGAATGTGACTCCAGCGACGCAAATACAATGTCAGTTCCACAAATTCAAAAACCGAGGGATAATAGGCATACTGTGCCACCGGCACGTGAAAATATCTTCAATTCGAAGGTAAAAAAAAAACATCGGGGAGCGCAGTTTCTGCTGCCTGGGATGATGCTATCATAAAAGGGAGACGCGACGCACGTCAACGCGCACCCTTTTGTGGCGCGCCGGGGGCAGCAGGAGCCGCATGAGCGATCAGGGGTTATGGCACAGCCGAGTTTCGAACACGGGCCCCGCGTGAGAGCCAAAGGCACTAGCCACTCGGCTATTTCGCCATCACGCCATGACGCCTCAGTGACTTGAATGGCCTGTCACTAACTAAAAATATGTGCGGGTTCCTTGTTCAGATTTCCATGCGTTAGCCGTTAAAGTGTAAATCAAAATTATCATTTCGGCGAATAGCTTGTTTTCGCAACGTTAAAGCATTAGCGCATCAAGTTTTTGTGTGCCCATAATCGGTTGCGCATGTGCGTATCGTCAAACTTTACTTTGCTCCCCCTTCAGTCCTGCCCTGAAAATTTGCATTTGTCCGATCACGAACATTTTCACTGCTGGTGCTGCTGAGTCACCCACATTTCTATCTGCTTAACGGTAGCGGATACGACTGAAGGCATCGTCCGATGTTAAGTGTGTATTGCTTCTGAACTTCATCCGAGTTCAAAATTTAAAACAAACGCGGGCCAACGGGGTGACGAACCGTTCCCATTGTCTGCGCTGACCTGAAATGCGGCCTGGGGCGCAGCAGGTCATGGGCAGAGAGGGGCATCGCGGGTAACACGGGCCCCTGCTGTTACAAAAGGCAGCAGGGAGCCTAATCCCGCCAAAATCACCGAAAATTGACCCACCGGACTTAGCTGCCAGACGAGGCCCTCAGAGGGACACAGGGCGTGGAGGACGGCGGCACGGCCCTGGGTTGACATTCGTCTGATCGCATACCTTCTCGGCGCACATTGTCAGCACGGACGTACGTTGCAATTACCTGCTTGTGGTCCCGTCTCAAAAAGACATAGTCTTCCCAGTGAGCGTATGGGCGCATAGTACAGAGTTCGGTTATCTCCATTGTTCGCTGCTGCACGTCTGTGTGCGGCAGCGCAAACCAGATCAACTTGAAACAGCTCCAGTCAATTCTAATTGTTTGCACGAGAGTAACGTCAGGCCGTCGGAAGTTTGACCCTATTTCCGACCTGATACGCCAAAACTCAGCCTTGAATGTGAGACGGCTCGCATGTTACCAAAACATGGCCGTTCTTCATAAGATCATCATAACGGGACAACCATCAGCATTAGCAAATACAATCAGCACAAACGTCGACACGACAGGAGGACGCGACCGCCAGTCACGCAACATCAGGCTACCTACGGCGCGTCAGAACAGCGGCAAACGGTAGTTTATTGATCGGGCTCCGGTCCACTACAGACTCCTGCCACACTGTGTGAGGGCTCATAACCACTCATGCTTTGCTGCCACAGTGAAGTCAAAATTTTTACATGCCATTGGGTCGTGCACACGCATTTATAATTGATGTAAGATGTGCGTGCCTTTTGTTAAATGAATCAGCGCTTCTGTACCCAGGGACGCTTAAGGCATGACGTAGCACAGTTATAGCCAAATGTGTATTTTATCTGTTATAGAATGCATGATACATTGGAATGTGCTACGGCGTGAATACAAACATACATACACAGCAAACACCGGTCCCATCCCTGGTGCGGCAAGCCCTCTACCCTGGGCATCTGACACAGGATCGACACAGGACCCGTCTCTGGCGCAAAAGGAGCCCTTACCGGCGCAGGGGGTTCAGTCACTGGCAACGAGACACCAATGCGGCATATCGGCCTTGGTTGAAACGGTGTGGAGGAACCTTCATTGGAAGCTCTGACTGGTACAGGCCACTGTCTTATTGTGAGTGAGAACACTTGCATTGTCCTTTCTCATGTCTCCTTGCAATGTCAAGAGGGGCCGGAAACACGTAAGAGGCCTTTTGACAGGGGTTCCGCTCCGGTCCCTATTAAGCCAGTGTGTCCCTGGCCGACTTGGGGCTCACTGCCAATGCAGAATACAGACAACAATACTTCGGAGACATTGTAGTTTGTGAACCTCTGGTAAGCACAGGGACCCTTCACTGTTTTGGGGGTCTGACCAATGCTAGAGGTTTTTGGTTTACATTTGCAGGCCCCGGCCCTGTCCCTTCTTGAGGAAGGGACCCCAGGATCCAGACCGGCCAAGGACAGACTATTTAGCATCGGTGGTCTCCGCCAACTAACTGACATAGCAACTCTCAGATTCAGGGACCCCCAATCAGTACAAGAGGTCCTTCGACTGCCTTTAGAGGGGTAAGCTTTCTCTCAGGTCCATCCGTACGTCCCTCGGCCAGCCCTTCGGACTTTCCGATTGGATTATATTTCGGACCCTTGATTGTCAGCCTCTCGGGGCCCAAAGAGCCCCTCGGTATCTAAGGACCTCAGCCCGGTTACGTGTCCCTGTGTCACCGATGGTGGCTCCCTTAAATTATTGTCAGAGTCAGAGTAGATGTCAGAGGAATTGTGTGCCCCGGGAATTTGACGCGACTTGAGATGAAATTGTGAAGCCCTTTGCAGTGCTTTCCTGGAATTGGGCACCAATAAAAAAGACAGGCCACCATGCCCCATGTGACGCCTTTCGACGCCTTCGCGGAAGAGGGCGACCAAGGAATTTGACAGGGCGGAAAGCACAAAAATTGTGCTGTCCCTGATTTCAGCGGCCCTTAGAAACCAAAATGCTGGGGTTTTAAAGGACTCATTTGGGCTTGACACCTCTAAAAAATAAAGGTTACAGTACCCAAAATTGATAAGTTTTAGGGATGACTCGCCACGTGGGCAAACCTCAACACCTGACTCTGGATTTTGTTCATGGGGAGGTACAAGCATTATGGTGCACCCTGGAATTTGGTGTCTACAAAATGAATGTTTTGAGGCCCTTTACTGCACCCCTGAAATTAGGCATCTCTGGAAAATAACTATGACATCCTGAGATGCGGGTTTGTGGTGCCACTTTGCCAAACAGTGAAGAAGTTGATCTGGAATTTTGTCAGGCTCAAAGATGCAGAAATTCCTCTTGAAAACATAAACCATGGTCCCCTGAAATTAAGGTCTGGGAACCCCTTCAGCATGATATTTTTGTACCTCCAACAATCATTTTATATAATCCAGGAGCAATGTCACCACACCATTGCATAAAATATATTTCCTAGCCTCAGAGGCTAGTACTTCTGGAACAAGACCAAGAGCTCCTTAAAATATCTGCCTTCCCCAGACTCCTAGGGGGCAGGCAGCATCATTTGTGGGCATATATAGTGTCAGTCATGTACATAATATTGTCTTGAACTAAAGCAAGATGAAAAATTGCTGCATCACATTTTTCAAACAGATACTAACACCCACCTGCCATCCTGTGCTCATCCTCAAGAGATAAACTCTTAGGATGTGCACGGGTTGAAATATTGAGGACTGTCAAAATAACTATTGTTAAGCACCACAACACTGCTCAGTCAGTACTATACCTCCTAGTTTACTGAAGGCTGTTTTTGCACAAATAAGAATATTGAACTCATGATACTAAAAGACCAGGACCTAAAAACCTTTCTCTTCTATTGAGTTTAAATCACATCCACAGAATAAAGTAGGAAAAATTTCCCAAGAAATGTGTCTGGGGAATAAGATGGGTTTGGTTCATGGGCTCACGCCACCTCCTCCGCCCCCCCCCCCCCCCCCCCGCCCACCAATAAAGATGCAATGCTCTAACCCATATCCACAGTGATTACCCACTTGTGTATGCCTGCTAGCATTGGCTGCACAATAATTATTAATAACATCGTCAACAGATCATCAAACAGCAAGACAACCTAAGAACATTTTATTGCATGTTGAAGGAGATCATCTCTGAAGCACAGCCTAGATTAGACTTACCATTGTCCAGAGACAGACATTTGCTCGATGGAGCTGATAATTCGTTCGACACCAATGCAACACGACTTGCAGACTCCACCTCGTTTCGAGCGAATAAGACGCTTTTGTAGGACGATTTTGATAATAGCTAACGCACGACCAAGGGAATAACCGAGGTCATCATCACTGGCACACTATCGTTCCAATCTGACAGCCATTTATCTTGGTATGTAAACAAGACTAATTATTTCGGCATCTGATGTATCCGGCGCGCAGTTTTTGCCTACTAGTGAAGTGGAGAAAATGTGTTGATTGCCTTAAATCACAAGTGGGAAGCTAAGGGCCGGGTAGAGCATGAGGTCCACCAGAGAAATTAGAAAAGACGTACATAATAGGCTTCAACGCAGTTTTCGAGTGCATAGCATTACTGTAATTGTCACGGCAAACAATGTTTCATGACATAGCCAAGGGCGGCGCCAGCGTTCTGGAGCGGGGGAGGTGGGCTCGTTTCTGTCCATCATCGGATGGGGGACTCCCCTCCTATTCTAAGAACACTCTTGAAGAAAGAAAGTACGTAGTAGAACGTAAAGTAGAACGTAGTAGAACATAAAGTAGTAGTAGTACGTAAAGAAAGTACGTTTTCACGTATATTTTCACTAAGGAGCCTATATGCCCAGTTTTTACTGTTTTTACCACGATAAAGTTACCTCACATCGATAGAATCATACATACGCGTATGAACGTTTAAAAAGTGGGAAGCGAGGCTCAGGGTTAATTTTTTCTGGGACAAGCTCAAGCTCAGTGACCGGGGTGGGGTTGGGGGTTACAGAAAGAGGCTATTGTTTGCTTGTAACGCGCGCTCGAGGAGGGGGGGCAAATATTTGGCCTCCCGCGAAGGTTTTTCCGGAATGATTTCTGAACGGCGCGGCGAGGACATGCCAAATGTTGCATAGCTGTAGGCAAATGTACAGCGGGTCATTTTGTACAAAGATTGTAGATGCATCGTGAAAGGTCGCTGACCTACGGCGGGTCAAAATCAGATCATGAATTCAGCAAGGTCGATTTCCAGAGAATCGCTCAATCCAAGGACGAATCCAGAGGGGGGTCAAGGGCCCATGCCTCCCCCCCCCCTGGGCACCGAGGGGGTCCATTGGCTCCGAGAGGGCCTATAGACGGTCGAACAGGTGTAGTTTTTTTTTAACACAAAACGCAACAAAACTAGGTATCTCGGGACCTCCAGGCCACTAAGAACAGTTATGGGCGAAAGTGAAGGGCCTATGAAAAGTCAAAAATTATTCGATAATTGGAAGAGTTATGAACTGGAAATTTTAAGCCCCAATACGCTGCCTATGGGCTAATGCTGTTTCCGGGGGACCTATATGGCCACTTGCAGAAAGACCGTTCGTTAAAGATCGTTAAAAAACATTCCGCGTTGCCCTTCATTTCTTTGCATTTGCTCGGATCGCCCTGCGCTGTCGTGGGCCCTTCCTGTAAGCGTGCCGGGGCACTCTTGACAATCACGGTCCCCTTCACGGGTTCTTTCCATTCGCCAGAAAGCCTCTGTGAGGTATAGCCGTGGTTCCATATCTTAGCCTAGCGGGGAATTCTCGGTTGCTCAGGGGCCCTTTGCGTGGGTCTCTGTTAACCTACTGACACATTTGAGATATGCTCATGGGCCCTCCACATTGGTCTAGGGAGTTTCCAATTCTCTGTCACCTACTTAGGGCCTTACACACTCGTCTGGGGCCCATCTGCTAGCCTGCTTGAACACGCTCAGTCGTTCGGGACCCTCAATAACTGAATCCTGGTACTTATTTTCTGACTGGGGGGGGGGGGGGGGGAGGGGCTACGCTCTTGTGGGCGGGTGTATCTGATAACCTGCTCGGGCACATTCGATCGTTCGGGGGCCGTCTACATTGGGTCTTGGGCACGTACTACTTGAATGGGGCCCTACGCACTTGTCGGAGGCCCCCTCTGTTCGCCTTCTCGGCCATACTGGATTGCTCGGAGGTCCCTGCACATTGGTTCTTGGTGTTTGCATTTAAGGCCCTCTGCTTCTATCGGGGTCATTTCATAACCTGTTCGGGTACACTCCATCTCTCGGGGTATCCCGCACCGGGTTTTGAGGACTTCGTATTTTAATGGAGGGCCTTATGCTCCTGTCGGGGCCCCTTCTGATAAGGTGTTTGGGTCCGTTCGATCGTAGGAGACCCGTGCATCTGGTTTTGGGTACTTCCTTTTTTAATTGAGTGTCCTCCCCTCTTTTCGGGGCCCTGTCTGTTAACCTGCTCTGGCGCACTCGATTATTTGGGGCCTTCTACATCGTGTAGTGGGTACTTCATATTTGAACAGAAGGCCCTGCGCTCTTGCCGGGACCCCATCTATTAACCTGCTCGGACACACTCGAAAATCTGGGGGCCCTCCACATTGTCTCTTGGGTACTTCCTATCTGAACGAAGGGCCCCACGCACTTATCGGGAAACCCATCTGTTTGCCGTTTCGACCATTCTGGATTGTTCGGGGAGCCCTATGTATTGGGTCTTGGCGTTTTAATTTAGGTCCTCACACTCCTGTCTGGGCCACCTAATAATCTGCTCGAGTATACTTCATCTTTTGGGGGCCTTCCGCACTGGGTTTTAGGTACTTCTTACTTGAATGGAGGGCCCTACGCTCTTGTTGGGGGCCCTATTTGTTAACCTGCTCGGGCACACTCGATCATTCGCGGGCCCTCTACATTGGGTCTTGGGTACTTCCTATTTGAATGGAGGGTCCTATGCTCTTGACGGAGCCCTGTGTTAATCTGTTCTGACACACTGGATGATTCGGGGTTCCTCCGCATTGGGTCTTGAATACTTCCTATTTGAATGGAGGGCCCTACACTCTTGACGGGGGCCCTATATGTTAATCTGCTCGGGCGCGCTCGATCGCTTAGAGCCCTACACATTGCGTCTTGAGTATTTTTTATAAGAATTGATGGCCCTATGTTCTTAGCGGGCCCCATCTATTCAGCTGCCCGGACCGGTGGCGGATGCGGAGGGTCGTGAGGGGGAGGCACAAGATCATGCCCCATGGACCACGTCGGGGGGACCTAAAGGCTCCGAAAGGGCGCGTAACCGGCCAGACGGACGCAGTTTTCTTACAACAAAAACACAACAAAACTGGGCGCCTTTGGGCCTACAGACAAACAAGAACCATTGCCAGCAAAAGTAAAGGGATCATAAGCAAACGAAGTTCTTTCTTTGCTTATTGCGAAAGTGTTGCTTGAGGGAGATTTTGGGGCTCACTACGCTGTCTAGAGGCATTACGATGTTGGTTGCTTGGTTTTGTACGTCCACTTGCCGGGTCAGTCTGATCGCTAAGGAGCTTTCCGCGTTGCCCTTGATCTCCTTGTTTTTTTCTCGTAGGGCCCAATGTGCTGTTGGAATGCTATCTGCCTCCATGCCTGAAAACTGTCAATCGGTCAGGTTTTCCTCCACGGATTCGTCCCATTCGCCCGAAAGGCTCAACGCACTTTTTCCGAGGCCCCATATGTCGGCACACTCAGTTGCTCAGGGGCTCTCCATGTAAGTATCGGGTTCTTTCCACTTGCTTGGAGAGCCTTGTGCTGGGGCTGGGGCTCTTCTATAGGATAAGGCACGGAGACACTCGATGCTCAGGGGCCCTCTACTTTGATCGAGGGCTCCCCCTCCCCCTTTGGTCTCATTTGCGGAGGACTCTTCACTCATATCGAGGCTCGTGTTGCTAACCTGCCCGTGCACTCAGATCGCACAGGGGTATTAATTCACGGTATTTGATAATCCCCCTTTGCTCGGAGGGTCCTGTGCTATGGTCGGGGCCTTATATGTCAGCCTGCCGAGGCACTACCGTTCGTTTAGGGGCCCACCACATTGGTCTTGTGCTCTTTTTTGCTTGCTCTGAGGACCCTGTGCCTGTTGACGGGAGCCACTTTGTTGGCCTCCTGCAGCACCCATGATCGCAAAAGTTATGTTGCTATTGATCTTGGTGCCTTCGCCTTAGAGCATCAGTCGAATATATGCCGATGATTTTTTACGCGCAATTGCCGAACGTAATTTGACATGCCGCCGACGTCGTCTGTGTCATTTTCATGGGCTATTGAGCGTGTGGCACTTATTATACTAGAGCATCACGTTCTTTACATGTTCTGAATACTACAATACATCGTACCTGTTTAAAGCAAAGGAAAAATTCTGCATTAGCCATCAGCTATCAGCTGATTACATCGCTCAGTCGTTTAGTCGTAAACACACAAGCTCAGAATTAAGCCCATACTTGGTTTTCATGGTTGTCATCAGTCAGCTCAAGTTTATTTTACCTGTTGCTCCGAAACACTTAACCTAAAAATCACAGCATTTAACATGATTTGTACAAATGAGTGAGCTCTATTTGTATGCATGCGTAGAACGCCTAGCTTTATGTGGCTGTGCATAGTAAGGTGGGTTTCCGTATTTATTAAATAAACGAATAAGTAAATGCATATATATATATATATATATATATATATATATATTACATGCTCGTTTTAAGATGCAATGACCGAAATTCAAGGATATCTTTTTGGAGGGGGCTCCAAACTCCAGGGGGTCCTACATTGTTGCGTGCTCCCCGCCTTGACGGCATCCTGGATCCGCCCCCGGCTTAATCTGGTGCAACAACGGAGTATTAAACGGAGCGATACATCTCTGAGATACTTTTTTAGGTAACACAGCAAATGAATGAGCAGATTTCATTGCCCTAGGGTCAGGTATGACGGCCAGACCAAGGTGAAAACCAACCTGTTTTTTTCCGGTGGGTCTGCTCTATCAGGTAGTTTTTGGTGCTTATTTCGAATTTATTAAAAACAGGACCCGCATTTTACATCTTCCATGAACTTTTTAAAGTTCAGAATAGGTCAATGACGTAAAATAAGCCAGGTAAATATTTTTTGTTACGAACATACTGCCTAGCGTTATAATTGTCTCATTCAAATGGAAAACTCACAGTACTCTCATATAATTCAGTCACTATGACCTTCGAAAGGTCAAACAAGCTCGCATACCTTAAATGGGTATGTGATATTTTGCTTAGACAAGGTATCTAGTGTCGGGGGCGCTTGGAGACCAATCTGGAGTTTGATCTTGTTTGTTCGCATTTGACCCGAAGGTTACAACCTAGGAACTTTGACCTAAGTGAGTTCACATGCAGGCCAATACACCCT